TATATACATCTATTTTTAGTTGGAAATGAAGCTAGTAATGGATCTACAAGGGTGCAGAATGAAGATAATTATTTTATCTTTCAACAACCTTTCTGATCTGCTTAATACTTAACAATTATATGTTCATAGGAGAATAAGAGCACATTTTAAGATGGATAACACACTGAAAGATCTACCTTCCAATTATAACCCAGAGGCTTCCAACAAATAAAATATAATGTCTCAAAGAACAAATAGGTGAGAAGGGAGATTTAATCAATGGTTCATAAACAAATTCCTACTTCCTTAGGACAGTCTCAGAGAAACTAAAAACACACAGAATAGAGATCCCAAGTTAAAAAAAAAAATTAGGGTTGCTAGACTCTCAGAAGGAAAAGTGACACTGCCAGGAATCAAATCTGTACATATGCCAAGAGTAAACAAGAAACTGATGAGTTTTTTTAAAATCTCACTGGAAATATATGAGAAACAAACACAGAAACAGCTTATAGATATATCACAACATGGATTGCCATGCTGGACGTAGCAGGTGGGAATCAAGGATAGAGCCAATTACAGCTGAACAATATACATCTGTGACACAACAAATGGAAAAAGAAGGCATATATATCATATCTTATACATGCTATTATTTTTGTACAACATTAGCTTTGTGGAAACAACTGGAAACAAATCATGCTTCTCATAAAAACCTTTTTATTCAGACTTTGACATATAGCAAACAGTGCAGATACAGAATTGGCAGGCCCTTTTAGAGAATTAGAAGGCTTTGCAGAGAACAAACAACATCTACAGACTGATTGATTTTACAGGCAGAGCCAAAGAGAGTTACCAGTGCTCCATCCCCTGGCTCACTGCCAGGATGGTTACAACAGCCATGCCTGGGCCCAGCCAAAACCAGAAGCCAAGAATTCCATCTGTGTTTTTCCCATGGTAGGATGGTGTTGGGTGGGGATGTATAAATTAACAAACAAATAGCAACTAACAAAAAAGAATCTACCTTGAATGTCCATTTGTCAATGAATGAATAATCTTATAAAAATAAAAATTAATAAAATTATAATCACTAATGAGCAATCATACTAAAAAAACATAACAGGTCACAGAAAAGTGAACAAAAACCACAACTATCTGACAAACATGAACAAATCTCACAAACATAATAGCAAACAGGTGAAACCAGCCACAGAGGAGTACAAAGAGGGGGTGCATTTAGCCTAGTGTCTCGCATGGCTCAATACCTGCCTCTGGCTCGGGCTCTGCATCCAGCTTCCTGCAAAAGCAGAATCTGAGCATCAGCAAAGAAGGCTCAAAAGATTTGGCTCCTGCCTCCTATGTGGGAAATGTGGATTGGATTCCTGACTTTTAGCTTCAGCTCAACCTTGGCCATCAACTATAGTTGAGTAGTGCAACAACAGTTGGGAATTCGTAGTATTTCTCTCAGTCTCAAAAAATTCAGCAACAACAACCTCGTACCTACTCTATGTGTATAATAAGCAGCAAATCAGAGTGGGAAATTACACAGCAATCAAGCCCCTGCTTGGGACACCACATCCCACAGTACAGTACTAGCATTTGTGTCCCAGCTCCATTCTATTCCAACTTGCTACTAATGCACACCCTGGGAGGAAAAAGGTGATGCCACAAGTAGCTGTGTCCCTGCCACACATATGAAAAACCCAGACTGAGTTCCCAGCTCCTCACTTGGCTGGGTCCAGTCTTGGCAAGTGCAGGTGGATGTATATAAGCAAAAAAGCAGCAGAAAGGAGTGCCTTCCCTCTTTCCACCAAAACAAACACCCTACCCCCTAAAAAGAAAAAGAAAACCTCAAAAGTGAATAAATCTGCCAGTGTGAATAGTAACAATCCTTATAAGGACAGTACTAACTACAATAAAATACAAAGAAACATCTGGGCTGCTGGTTAGGATTTTGCTTAATCTGGGTGCTATTACTATTACACAGCTAAAAATATATTCAGGGCCTGACACTGTGCCTTTGTGGGTATAGCTGCCATGTCCCATTTGGGTGCCAGTTTTTATCTGAGCTGCTCACTCCTCATCCTGCTCTCTGCTAATGCCCTAAGAAAAAACAGCAGAAGATGGAAGACAGACCATGTACTTGGGCCCCTGCATCTATATCAGAGAAGCAGAAAAAGCTCTTAGTTCCTCGCTTCAAGCCAGCCCATCTCCAGCCACTGTATTCATCTGAAGAGTGAACCAATAGAAGGATGATCTTGTTCTCTTTCTCTCCTTTTTTCTCTGATAACTCTTGAATTTCAAATACGTAAGTATTTAACAGATTCCCACCCTCATTGCATGTGAATATACTGGCTTTCCCTACGTGGCCACAGCACTATTCACGTTGCTCCCTTCAAGCTTTTCCAGTGTATTTTCTCGTCTCCCAATTTTGGCTACAATGAAAACTGCATGAAAAGAATGTGAAACTGGGCCCGCATGATGGCCTATTGGCTAAAGTCCTTGCCTTGAATGCTCTGGAATCCCATATGGGCACCGGTTCTAATCCCGGCGGCCCTGCTTCCCTTCCAGCTCCTTATTTGTGACCTGGGAAAGCAGTCAAGGATGGCCCAAAGCCTTGGGACCCTGCACCCGTGTGGGAGACCCTGAAGTGCTCCTGGCTCCTGGCTTTGGATGGGCTCAGCTCCAGCCATTGTGATCACTTGGGGAGGGAATCAGTGGACAGAAGATCTTCCTCTCTGTCTCTTATACTCTCTATATCTGACTTTGCAATAAAATAAATAAAACTTTTTTAAAAAAAAGAATATGAAATCGCACATACTTGATTCCAGTGATTGGAAAAGAACTTCAGTGTGTGTAGCTTAATTGTGTTCAGCCAGTCTGCATCGCAGTGCCATCTAAGCACAAAGGCGCGCTTAAAACATGGCGCTGCCTGCTCTTTTGGATGCGCATCTCAGTTTAGCACTCTGCGCCCACATAATCCCAGAGCGCTGAGCTGGCACAAGCCCTGCCATTTGCAGATACAACGTAGTGCAGGAACACATGAAAGCAGATTTGCCAATACAGCTTTTCACAACTGTGATTTAGAAATACTCAAGTGATCTCCGCATTCCCCCAGGCTTCCAGTTAAAAAATCCAAGTTTCTCCCAAACACTTGAAAGCTATCACAAGCTCACTCTTCTTATAATCACTGCGTTTTTCTAGTCACCAATGTCAAAACAAACCATTGCTTCTTTACAACTAGCATTTTGCTGGTTCACATGGGAGTAGGCAGCTACACTCATTGATTCAAGCTCTTGCCTCTTTCCTCTTAAATTTTTTCACTGTAAAAAAATTGAGAGAAAATGGAGACAGAGGAGACATATACATATAGAGGGAAGACAGAGAGAGAAACACTCCCTGCTGCCTAAATCCCCAGATGTCCTCAGAGGTCCCTGGCTGAGGTTTAAGCAAAGAGGCAGGAATCTTAGGGCTCCCATACAGGGCAGGGACCCAGTTGCTAGAGCCATTACTGCCAACTTTCCTGATCTGCATCGGTAGGAAGTTAGGATCAAGAGCAGACCAGAATTCAAACCCAGGCACTTTGATACAGGATGAGGCCTCCTACAAGACAGCATAACTACTGGGCCAAACGCCCACTCATAAAATTACAGCTGGGAAGGCGGTGCCTGTGCACATAAAAGTAACAGTGGCCTTTGTTCTTGGCTTTCTTTCTCTTTTAAAGATTTATTTTTATTATTTTTTTTTTATTGGAAAAGCGGATATACAGAGAGGAAGATCTTCCGTCCAATGATTCACTCCCCAAGTGAGCACAACGGCCGATGCTATGCCGATCTGAAGCCAGGAGCCTCTTCCAGGTCTCCCACACGGGTGCAGGGTCCCAAAGCTTTGGGCCATCCTCGACTGCTTTCCCGGGCCACAGGCAGGGAGCTGGAAGGGAAGCGGGGCTGCTGGGATAGAACTGGCGCCCATATGGGATCCCGGGCGTGCAAGGTGAGGACCTTAACCACTGCGCCACTGCGCCGGGCCCTTGGCTTTCTTTCTCAACTTCAGCTATTTACTTTGGCTTAGCCAGGTATCTGCTTTACCTTTGCCCATTCACCTCTGCCAAATTCAATAAAGAGAGGGAGAAAGACAACTGAATGTAAACGCAACTGAATTTCAGTATCTTTTAGGAAAGGGGCAAAAGACACATCCATCTTGAAAGCACCAATAACATTTCAGATTAAGCAATTTGCCTGAAGTGTATCATGTCTCTTCTAGGCATCCAAGTATCAAATCGTTTCATTTTCTTTACTATTATTCTAATTCAACATACCACACACCACCCACTGTTCCTTAATTTAATAACCACAAGAAAAACCAGACAGTGCATTGCAAAACCATGTCTTAAGCCAAGGTAGTCATAATGACAGATACCCTAATTATATTACATTCACTTTCAACTGGAGAATTAAATTACATAATCCAAAGAAGTTTTATAACAAGCTAACATGGTGATGTCCAGTTTGGTGGAAAATTATTTGGATTGGAAAATATAGCTTTTGTGTAAAACCATACCAAGAAGACCACTTTGCAAACACCAAACAGTATTTTGATTAGTGAATACACAGCAAGTAGAATTATGTTTGAGACTACAAAAGCCACTAGGGAAAAAAAAAAATATATATATATATATAGAGAGAGAGAGATATGCAGGTAAACTAAACTTGAGAAAAATCTACAAATGTTAACTGTTGTAGCCATGGTTATACAACCCCAAACCAAAAACAATACAATGAAATGACTTCAGTTAGGTCCAAAGTACGGTATAGCCTCAAAAATAAGATTTCAAGTAAGTTTGCTCTAGAGAAAGGGAAAAAGATTACCAACTGAAAAACAAGATTAAAAGAACAAGAACTATCAATTCAACTTACAAGCAAAAATGTTTGCGGTTTTAGTAAAACCCCAAAAGCTGAGAAACAGAATGATATATTTCACAAGTGGTAATTTGTGTGTATGCAATCAATGATGCCTGCACCTACTTCATTTAAGTCCTGCTGCGTCTCAAAAGCATCCTTTGTCCAGGCGGAAGTCCTCTGGTCTGTGCTGTAAAATACAAAGGAAATTATTTCCACTTAAGAGAAACTTATCAACAATGGACATTTGAAGCAGCCATCTACAGATCTGCCCACACCTCTGTTACCAACCCATAGTAGTACCTCACTGTTCTTAGGATAAAACTCAGGCTCTTTGAATGGCCTGAAACAATGAACATTTAACCCCACCAGCCTGACTGGCTCCACTGTCTCTCAGACTCCAGACACCTGGCCCTTTCATTTCTTGAACACACAAAGCTTGTTTCCTATGCAAACACTGACACTGTCCCTTGACTCAGAATATTCTTCCCCACAAAGTCTTGCTACCTTAAAATGTCAGCTCAGTTCACATGTTACCTACCCAAGCAGGCCCTGCTGGCCTCCCTAACCAGAAGCAGCCTCCCTCTTAGTCAGCAGCACACTGCTTTGCAGAGTTCCTTCTTAATACCTCATATTATCTGAAATGATTCCTTTTTATTTTCATTTCCACACTAGAATGGTAGCTCCAAAAAGGCATTGGTTATGCTCATTTTCTACATGGCTAAATTCTCACTTCTTAGTACAAACTACACACACACACACACACACACACACACACACACACACACACCCCACATCTTTAATGAATGCACTTGCTCTTTTATAGAGACAGACAGATGGCATTTGCCCATGAAAGACAGCTTATAGAAATTTCACCCTATCTCTTAACTTATACAATAAATGTTACAGTCATTGCTAAATTATGTGTAGAGCTGGTATGATGGTTTGGACAATATTTGGCTTCCAAACTCAGACAGACATTTAAATCCCATTACAATTAAATAAAGACAAGAAAGCTGGGGGTGGGGGAGTGGGGGGGAAGCTGCTCTTAGCTAGTGCTAAAGCTGAAGCTAATGTTATATTGAAACACACAGGTTAGCTTTAGGAAAGCATAGATACTTATGGTGTTTACAAAGTGGGGCCTAGTGAGAGATCTTTTTTGTCTCTTTGGACATACCACTGAAAGATAATTTTTGAGAGGGCTTGTTGTAAAGTCTTCAAGGGGCCAAAGATCTCAATTGATATCTCTCTCTCTCTCATGGGGCCCAAGATCTCAACTGATCTCTCTCTCTCTCTTGCTTTTTCTTGGCTCCTTGTCTTGCCACAAGAAATTCACTCCACGGAACTCCACATTCCTCCATTTACCATTGCCATCAGAGGCAGAACCAACAGAGCCCCTTGCTACTGGAGTTGAATTTGTAAAATGTTATAATGTTAATTTCCTCAGGTATTTTGTTGTGGTGATGAAAGCTAACTAAAATAGTTGGGTTTTGCCATAATATAGTTCCCATGATTAAGGTCCTTAAACAAAACATATCTACTCTGGGTTGATTTTCTTTCATTTAAAGCATATACAATTAATGGGTAATTATGTCCAAATTATGATTCATCCAATTCTATAGTTCAATGACATCTGTTAAATAGCATTCAAGGTTTTTTCCACAGCAGTTGTTTGCTATTATATAATAAACATCTTAAATTATACTTATTATACTTATGAAAAGGCCAGCTATTTAAATGAATGAGAGATTGAGTCAATGTTAAGTCATTCATAACAAGATTTTGGGACATAGTTATTTACAACTAATACTCTGTGTCAATTGAAATCCTGAAGAAAATGTACGCAAAACTAATGATTTCTAATCATCATAACACATTCGGCATCGTACACTTAGGAATGTCACAAGACTAACTTCTTTGAAATCTTCTTAAGCAAAGTTCTTTTAGGCCATAGGTGTAAACTGTTCCAACAATTTGTTTCTAACAAGAAAAACAAGGAGATGGTAAAGCAAGAAATACATGAAGTTCAGAATGATGTCTTTTGCACCTGTACATATTAGTTTTTTCCTCCTGAGAGCAAGAGATGAAGGTTCCTAGTCATGAGCTCAGGCAAAAACAGCTCTAGTTTCAAGGAAAGAGGGAGGAATGAAACTGCCGATATATCCGATATGTCCGATACATCCCTCTACCCCTGTGCTATCAACACAGTAACTGCAGGACTTTAGAAGTTACAAAGCAATTCTACCCGGTTCACTGGGACAAAGAAGCCAGCAATAGAAATTAACCCATCCGACCCAGGAGCATCAGACTCACTAAATGGCCGAAAGTTTCTTGATAACTATGATTACTTTCAAGCTATGTTTCTACACTATAGAATCAGAAGAAAAAAGGGGGGCAGGGGAATTATGTTCTGCAAAGGAAAAATTGTTTACCATTTTATACTTTAAGAGCAAATTTCTCTAGGCTCTGATATCAGATTCCTCCTAGTGAGTGACAGCAGTTGGTAAGACAAATCAACAAGCAGCAAGCAGCAACGAAAGGAAGCAGAAATATACTTTGTTACAATATATCTTGAGATGCAGAAAATGGACTCTGTGGAATATACACACAGTTCTGCCAGAAAAAAGTACTCATAACCGTTGAACATACCTCTGGAATAAGTCTGAGAATCATAGTCACAAATATCAAAGGTACATTCACCTACTGTTTACCGGATGTCTGCTACAGTGTTGGAGGAACAACACACAGGCAGAGCATAAACCTTAAAGAAGTTTACAATCTAGTAAAATCATAAAGAGTAAGTAGAATTTATTGACACACAGCTTTGAGGGTGTTTCAGTAAATCAAGAATCAGAATGTGTGAACGGCTACTAGAATGTCAGTGAGGAGGTGCTGAGTTAGAGCCAGACAACAGGTATTTCTCGAGAACAAAAGCAATAGAGAAATCAAGCGTGCATTCAAAACAAAGAACCAAAGAGAAAGATCAGTAATAAATAAATAAATAAAATTAACTTAAAATTGAGCATGTGTAGGAAGGGAAATGAAGAGTAAGTTTCCTAATGGGATACAGGAAAACATGTTATTGGGGGGTGAGGGGAGGGAAGAAGAGGGAGCATCAGGCATTATGGGAAAGGTGATACATCAAATTTAGACACCTGCAGCTTTGAGGTAAAGCTAAATCAGAGAAGTTAAAAATATTAGGCGAGGGTTCACCCAAGAACTAGGCCATTCCACAGTGCATTCAGCTGATTTAGGTGAGCCATAAGTGACAGTCACAGCCAAGGTTTTGTGGGAAGGGTCTATATCGATGTCTTCCTCCTTGCACAGCTAGAGACCAGCATGATGCCTGGTACATGCTACACTGTCATTGCATGTGTTTTGAATGAGTTGATAAAAGAAAAACCAGCAGAAACAATGACTTCTTGATATTACCTACTAAACAAGTACTCTTCGTAATTACACTAACTGAAGTTGATCACTATTAAAGTGAAAAAAGGGTGAGTGTTTGGCATAACTATTGAGTTGCCCCTTGCCCACAACCCAAATTTGAGCGATTGTACTAGAGTAGAGCATAGGTCCCCTGTCAATTCTAACTTCCCACTGATGACCAATACTGAGTTTTGAACTCCTAGTTTTAACATGGTCAGCCACTGGTGGCTGCAAGAGTTTGAAGAGTAAATCAGTGGCTGGAATATTTCTCCCTCTGTCTTTCCAATAAATATTAAAAGTAATAAAGATATACAGCTACCTTATAAAATAATACATACTGTGAAAGTGCATGAGTAATGCTCATCATTACTGTTGGCTCTAACACATAAATTCTATTCTCATATGCAGGTGACCCTTGATTTACCACAGGGTTATATCCCAATAATCCAATCCTAACCAGAAAATATCTTAAGTCTAACATGCATTTAATACATTTAACTCACTAAACATTATAGTTTAAAAACAGTATCCTGCAGGGCATGAGGTGTCTATCTTGTGGCCTCCAGGCTGAGTGGATGCTGTAGCGCACTAACTGCTGCTGCCCAGCACTGTAAGACAGTGCTGTTCTGTACATCTCTACACCAGGAAGAGATTCAAATTGAAAATCTGAAATACAGTGTCTCCTGGGGATGTATCACTTCCATGCCATCATAATGTCAACAAATTGTAAGCCAAACCACTGTTAAGTCAGAAATGGCCACTGGGAAAATACAGTAGAAATTTTATGTAATGATGGTAACTAGAAAATTTTATTAATGTAAACAATGTAGGACTTGTTAATACATAGACAGAAATAAATGATGAAAGCCACTGAGCACATTTCTGGAACCATAAGAGGTTAAAAAAAATTGAAGTATTACTAAGGGGATAAGAAGCCAATCTGAAGGAACACTTGAAATATCAAAGAGGAAGATGTAATATGAAGAATGTTGAGAAGAGTCCACTCCTATCAATTCATCAGCCATTACTATGCCTACGCCAGACAGGATGCACCAGGTAGATTACTACATTATCTCATTTAATTTGTAGGTTAACTATGAGATTAGTACTATTATATCCAATATGAAAAGAGGTAATGTAATGTAATTCAATCATTCAACAAATATGTATTTTGTAAGATTTATCTGTTTACTTAAAAGAGTCATAGAAAAAAAAAAGAGCGAAAGAGACACAGAGAGAGAAAGCAAGAGTTTCCATTCACTGGTTCACTCCCCAAATGGCAACAATAGCCACAGTAGACCAGACTGAAAACAGGAGTCAAGCTTCCTCAGAGTCTCCACGTGAGTACAGGGGCCCAGGCACCTGAGCTATCTTCTTCTGCTTTCCCGGGAACTGGAGCAATAGGGACTTGAATCAATCCCCATATGGGATAAGAACCTACTATAGTCCAAGTACTAGTGCAGGTGTTTAAAATAAAGCAACAGATCAACAAAATCTTCCTTAGAGAACTCGAATTCTCCAGGAAGAAAAAATATAAAGAAATGGACCAGTGATGAGCTATGATACACTAAGTGTAAAGTATCATGGGTAAAAAGAAAGTAAGGCATGCAGAAGTGCCCAATCTCAGACAGCTGGAACATGACAAAGTCACCTAGGGTCACTCGGAATGAAAGCGAAGAAGGAAAAGTCCACCAGAATGAAAAGGTAAAGGGACAGAAATGGAAGCATCGCACTGGAGAAGTTTGGCAATGAAAAGAAGAG